CGCCCTCCTCAGTGGCAGGTGGGGGTCCCTCACCAAGACCTGGGAATGAAGCAGAATGCCACAAGCCCTGGCAGCCCCCACCTATCACCCTCCTGGGCTCCACCATCTGGATGTGCCAACAGCTCCCCTCATGTGACCTTATGTCCAGATCATCCTGGGAGATCTGAATTCCAGGCCTGTCCTGGCATCTGTCCATCTGGAGAATTCCCCCACCTCTGAGCCCCGTCCTCCTCTACTGTCCACCGCAGTTCCTCCTATGGAACAACTTGACAGCGCAGAAGCTGTGGGAACATTCCAATCTCCCCGTGCACACCCTCACCCACGAGTTGCCCCTATCTTTCTACTTCAGCCTCCCCGCAAGCATCCGCTCCTCTCCTGCGGCTCCTTCCCAACCCTGCGCCTGTGCACACCCTCCTGAATCACCTTAGCTGTTCCTCCCCAGCCAACCCATTGTTTTCTGCTCTTTGGGATCCTGACTTGAAGCTCATCTCCTACGGGAAGTCCTTCTGGATCGCTCCCCAGCTGCACCCCTACAGTTTTGCTCTTCAGGTCACACTGAATTGAAAAACTGGATTTAGGCCACCTCACTGCAATTACACCGCATGTCCCCAGTGTAAGAACTCCTCAAGGAGGGGTCCCGGTTTTCAGTTCTTGTCTCTCTGACCCCTGCATAGTACTCAAGCTGTAGTGGGCACGGGGGATGCTCAGAGCACCCATGGGTGGATCCGAGCTCACCAGCCCTTTGCCAGGACCACAGCTGCTCTTCCACAGTTAACATTTTGGAGAGGAGCAAGGAGCCCTTAGGAAGCTGGGATAAGAGTTTATCTGCCTTAGTATTAATCACCCCATAAAACTTGTGTTTGTTTAGTTGCTGGCAGGTCCCTCTTCCTGGAGGTAGGAAGCTGTTATTCTTGGAGATACCAGCCTGGACCAGGGAGCCTGGAGAAAAGAGGACGATCTGCTGAGCCCAGCATGATGGCCGGCGGCCTGGGCACCTGAAGCTGGCCTGCTGGGCCATGGCATGGCACCAGCAGGGGCCTGGGTCACCATCAAGGCAGGGAAGAGTGTGACACCAGCCTCTGCCTCCACTCTGCTCCTGGACATCTCATCTATCCATGGCCCAGCTTGCAAACCTACTGTGTGCATACCTACCTATGTGCACTTTGTGCCAGGCACCCAGGACACCTCCGAACCGAGGATAAGACACAGGCCAGGTGAGGTGTAAAGGGCAGGAGGGGACAGGTGCAGGGGCAGGACATCCCTAAAGATCAGACACTGGTTTGGGGGATCATCACCCCAGGAAAGGCTGGCCTGTCCTCAAAGCCACCAATATAGGGCACAACTTTCTTCAAGGAAGAGACAGCTGTGGGGCTGGGGATGTGGCTCAAGCGGTAGCGCGCTCGCCTGGCATGCGTGCGGCCCGGGTTCGATCCTCAGCACCACATACCAACAAAGATGTTGTGTCTGCCAAAAAAAATGAAAAATAAATATTAAAATTCTAAAAAAAAAGAGAGAGACAGCTGCTAAGAAGGGAGCCTAGGAAAAGCAAGAAGAGCTCATGGAATCAGAGTTGAAGGAGAGAGAGACGGACCCTGAAAGACACAGATGTAGTGACAGGGTTGGCAATAGGGAGGGGACAAGAGAAGAAAGAAAATTGACTCTGAGTCTCTACAGGGCCACTGGCATGTCTGAGTGGGGACACGGAGGGAAGGAAGAGAGCCTGCTGCGGCCACCTCAGCTCTCCTGGACGGCTCGCTGCCCCGCCCACTTCTTTTCCCCCCCCCCATCTTTTTTAGCTGCAGATGGACACAATATCTTTATTTACTTATTTTTATGTGGCGCTGAGGATGGACCCAGTGCTTCACACGTGCCAGGCGAGTGCTCTACCGCTGCGCTCCAGCTCCTGCCCCTGCTCTCTGCCTTTTTTACATACACACAAACAATCAATTTAGAAGGAACAAATGAAGAGATATTTTAATCTGCTAATTGAATTTAGGGGCCATAATCAGAGTTTGAAAATGCCCAGGGATTATGGTGATTTATGGCCAGGATGGGAATCAGCTGGGGTTATCTGGGTGCAGAGCAGCCTGCCGGCCAGGAGACGCAGAGGCAACCGCGATACCCCCACCCACCACTGATAGTCAAAGAAGGGGAGTGGGGCCCGGCCAGGTTCCTCTGCATGGGCTGTGTCCCCAAGGCAGGGACCTGCGTACTATTCCCCAGGCCCCCCTCAGCCCTTGGAGGTCCGAACATGTCACCTGGCATGTTCCCCTTCATTCCCACCTGTCCAGAGCCTCTTGAAACAGACAGGCCCAGTCCAAATCTTCTCTCCTGAGAAGCCTCTGGGACTACACCATTCCTCACAGACCTCAGCCTCCTCTGGCCTCAGCCTCCTCTGACTTCCTGCCTCCTTTTATGTTGAAACCTCCTGGAGGACCGGCCCTTCCACATCCCCACATGGGCAAGCCAGGTCCTCATGGGCCTCAGTTTTCTGCCTACCAAAGGGGGAGGAAAAAGACTCCCTCCTGGGTCTGCTGCTGAGAGGTTAAAGCAGCTGCCCGGATGGAAAGCATTATTGTAGATGGAAGGGATCTAGGTCCATAGCGCTTAACAATTTACTACCCCCTTGGTCATGCCTTGGTTGTGTCTGCAGTGTCTGTCTCCCGAACTGACAAGCAAGCCCAGGGCTGTCTGAGGGCCAGGCTGCTCTGTCTCTGCCCCCATCCACCCACTCTGTTCCTTAGCTAGCCAGTCCCTCATGCTCCCATCCATCCATCTCCCCACTCTCCCCTTCCTGCAAACATTACTCAACATCCTCTCAGGCCCAGCTGCGGGTCCACTCTGGAGGGGAGCCTGGCTGGGTAAGACATGGGTGCCTCCCTCAGCGCCCTCTCTATTGTGGGGGAAGAGACACGTAGCTGGGCCCTGGTTCAGCAGAGGCCTCAGTACTGCAAAAAGCGCAGCCCCCATGTGGTAGGACACAGGATGGAGAAGAACATTCCTGGGGAAGGCTTCAGAGAGGAGCAGCTCTTGGACTGGGCCTCCAAGCCAGAGTGGGGGCTGTGAGGAAGAGCATTCTTTGCTCAGGGGAAAGCAGGAACGTTGCCACTACATCCTACACCTTCCCTGCCAAAAGACTGTGACTCTCAAGAGCAGAGACATTCTCCATCTTCCACAATGTGGCAGAACTCAGGGCTGAGTCACAGAATTTACAACCGCTTTACAGAGGAGCCCGAGCCTCAGACAGGAGTGGCCAGGCCGGAGCTTAAGAATCGAGCTTTGGACGTGTACTGTCTTGAGGACACCAGATCACCAAGAAGATGCTCAATTAACCCTGGGCCAAGCACTGCCTTCCCCAGGGTGGGTGAGAATGTCTAACACCTACTGTGTGTCAGCTGTTCCTCATCAGTCCACTCTTCAAAAGAACCCCAGGGTCTATGACCCTATTGCACAATGAGGAAACTGAGTCCCACCCCTGGGACAAAGTGAGACCAGGACCCAACCTGGTCTATCTCTAGCTCAGGCACACCTCTCTGCCCTCCTGCCAGAGGGGGTCTCGTAGGTGCACCCAGGTCCCATCAGAAGTGGGGAGCAGACTGCCGTCGGTCAGTCAGGGCACCCTCCTTCAGCTGACACCTGGAACAGCCCGTTTCAGGCTTTCAGTGTGTCAGCGTGAATGCCGAAACCTTTCATTGACTTGAGAAACAGAAAGTTCCCAAACTGTGAGTTAATAAAAACAACCTTCTGATGTTCAGGACTCCACAAACAGGCTTCTGGCCATTACTCATGTCTTTGTTGTTGTTTTAATTTTGGCTGTTTGAACCCAGGGACACACTACTCACTGAGTTATATCCCCAGCCCTTTTTATTTATTTGTTACTTACTTTGTTTTTACTTTCACTCTCTTTACTCAAGAAAAAGTGTTTTTGAAAGGTTCCACTGTTTCTATGCTTTGAATTCAGAAAGGGGGCGGGGGTACTGAACCACCGTCACTGCATTTCTCCCTGCGAGGAGAAGGGGTGTGGATGGGAGATGGAAGCAGAAGCAAACACTGGCTGGGCAAACACTTGGTACCCAGGACTGCTGGACACTCGCTCACAGGGACTCTTCCCACCAACCCATTTCACAATGAGGAAGCTGTGTCAGGCTCCGGCAGGCTCTGCCCAGGGACAAAGACAGTTCGCTAACGTGCTGATCTGTACCCAAAGTCTACCACACACAGGAATGCTGCGGCAGGAAGTCTGTACCTTAGTGCTCCAGGCCACCTCTGATGATCCCTCTCCCAGCCACCCACCACCCCCACAGTATGTCAGTCCTCCCTCTGCAAGAGGATAGCTTGGAGCCTGGAGGTACCTGGAAGTCTTGGCCATTCCTGGCCCCCCAGTGCCTTCTGCTTCCTGCCCCATCTCTTACCCAACCTCCCTGTGAAAAGCACTTAGGAAGGTATGGAGCCCAGGCTCTGGGAAGGCTGCAGACCCAGGACTAAGAGCCTCACTTTGGAGCTGGACAAACTCAGGGCAGAGCATTGATTCCACACTCACAGGCCTCATGACTCCACCTCCCTGAACTTGAGTCTCTGCCTCTATAGGCCCAATATTTCCCAGGGTGTGATGAGAACAGGCAATCATGAAGTGTCTGGCATCCAGTAAGACCTCTGTAAACGAGGGCTACTACGATGAACACTGATGACTTCTGCAGGTGGGATCTCAAGGCTATTGCTGATGGCAAAGGTTGTACACTGCTCAGAGGTACCACCTGAGGGGCTGCAGAGGGGAGGGGTCTCACCTGGGTTCCACCTGCCGAAGCTGTGGCTGAGAGGAAGCGAGCTCTCTGCAGCACAATGGTCCCAGAGCTGCCCTGGAGCCCCTCAGCCCTGGGGCTGCTGCCAAGTTGAGGAGGAGAAGTCCCCTGCCTGATGGCACTGAGCAGTGTCAAGGCGCAGCACCTGGAGACTGAGGGATGTGCCATGCCCCTCAGGGACCAGAGGGAGTGGTCACTCACCTAGCAGTTGGACGCCCCGCGTCAGGCCGTAGACATCCACCAGGGCCCAGAGTGGGTCAGCCGTGCGGACCCCATTGAAGAAGAGCATGGCGGCCGAGTCGTTGATGCGGTAGAAGACACGGCCCTTCTTGTCCACCCAGAAGGCAATGATGTTGCCCTCGTTGGCAAACTCCTCAGGCAGCGCCTTGGCCCAGAAGCCACTCTGGGACACCAGGTCGGGGCAGGCGTACTTGGGAAGCGAGTCCGGGTGGATGCGCGATGGGTCCTTGCTCGTGAAGCCCAGTCGCAGGGCCCCGCTCCAGCAGCACTGCTTCTTGGTGATCTGGTGGCAGGGGGTGGCCTCAGCCCAGCCACTCCCCCTTCAGACAGACCAGGGGAAGGGAGGGCACCCTTCTCTGCAAACCACCCTCAGCAGACCTCCAGGGATGTCCTGCAGCCTGTCCTTTCCCTCCCCCGGGAGCCTTCTCATGGGCTGGGGAGAGTCAAGCGGTTCCCATGGCCACTCCCAGCCCCATTCCTCTTTGTCACCAAGGAAGGCTGGGGGAGAGTAAGGAAGAGAGGGAAGGGTGGCAGTGGAAAGGAAAGAGATGGGACAGGGGGCTAATGGCATTAACAGCAGACCCTGGCTGTGGGGAGAGGGTCAGAGGCACAAGGGGACATAGGGCGGGCCCACCTTTAGCCTGACTTGCTCATAGATGAGCACCGGGCGGTTACTGAAGGTGATGGCGTTGCAGAAGCTGGCCTGCCTCTTGACGGCCTTGTGGCTGAGGTCCATGAGGATCTGGGAGCCCTTGGTGTGTGGGTGGAAGAGCAGCGGCGTGGCCGGGAGCCCCCCGCTGGGTAGCACTGGTGGGCAGTGCTTCTGCTTGTGGTGGCATCTGTGAGAATTGACGGGGAAGGGGCCCCCGATGGAGTCTGCAAAGGAACAGGCCACAGTGTCAGAGAACTTAGCGGGTCTGAGAACCAGACTAGGTCCCCCAGGGAAGAGCCCAAGGCTAGGGCATAAGCAGACAGCACCTGTCTGTCACCCAGTATTTCCACCATCGCTGCCACCTGGCACCATGGCCACTTTACCACTGTCCTCTCTTGCTGCCATGTGCCACAATCTCCCAGGTCACCTTCTCCCATCATCCTTTATTGGTTTGCTATCCACTTCCATCCACCCTCTCATCCTCCTCATTTGTCTTAATGCCATCCACCAGCTACCCACCCACCCACCCAGCCATGAGCACCTCCACCACTGAATTATAGCCTTTGCATCTACTGACTACCAGGCTCTGTCCTAGGCACTGCAGCTACAGACACGAAACATGGATGGATCCTGTCCTCCTGAAGCCACAAGTCCAGAAAGGGAGACAGACATGGACATTCTGTTATCACAGCACACAGTGACAAACACCAAAAGGACCAACAGGCAGGTCACTTCTCAGGAAGGCCTCCTGGGGGAGAGTTGAATCGAGGTGACACTGGAGCTGGGCAGGCTTGAGGTCCATGAGGGACCACTACAGGGAGGAAGAGAGAGTCTCTGCAGCATCAGACCCAGAACTGTGTCCACCATCATGTCCCTCCCTCAGGGTCACCTCTGTCCCACATCAGGTTTAGACAGTTCTAGAAAATGGAGTAGAGAATGGGGCAGGGCTTGGCTGAGGAGCAGACACTTTACAAACCATTGTGGTTGGCATGAGATGGGGCAAGGAGAGGAAGGAGCGCAGAGCTAGGTGTTAGGTGTCTGTGTCTGTCACTCGCTGGCTGTGTGACTCTGGAGAAGACACTTCTCTCTCTGGCCCAGGGGGTGGCCTCTGTCCCTTGCTCTAAGACACAAATCAGGAGCTGGGCAGCATGACTACGTGGGCTGGGGGCTAGGGGCTTGGGGCCCTCAGTGCCTCCTCAGGAGCTGTCCTCACCAGCCCTTCAGGAATTGGAGGACCTGTCCATTCTGTCATCTTAAGGAAAGAGAGCCACTGCGGACAGGGAAGAAGGAGGTGGAGGGATTCCAAGCCTCAAAAGGTGACTGGGGTTTTCTGGGATGTTGCAAATTTTTAGTTCCTCCAAGACAGGAATTTAGTAATGCGGAGAAGAGCCGCCTCAGCTCTGCCCAGACCCTGCCACTGCAGAGGAGGGGGAGGAAGAGGAAGCTGGGAGGCGGCGGGCAGAGACCTCGGTCCAGGCTGCCGGCTCTGGTTTCATCTCTTGGCATCTCTGCTCCCTCCTTCTCGGAGGGCCCCGAGCACCAGCTCCCGCAGCCCAGGACCAGCCATGCCCCGGGGAACAGTCCTTGAGGCCTGTCTGGAGCAGCTTCCTGCATGCCAGGCCTGAGAGGTGGGGGTGCGTGAGGAAGGCTGGCCTTGCTCTCACCGAGGAGACAAGACGTTCTGGAACTGCCAAACCACGCAAGGCTTTAGAGCCGCCAGGCTGCCAGGGCTGGAGTTGCTCGGAGAGCCCCAGACAGCCCGGGAAGCTTCCTGGGAGAAGCCAAATGAACTCTGGAGAGGGCAGAGGAAGGGGAGTCACTCCAGGAAGGAGACGGTTGGGGTGAAGGGCAGAGGGTGTGCTGCCTGGAAAAGGTGCCCACTGGGCTCGGGCCGCCTCAGACACAGCTTGACTCTCAGTTTCAAATAAGACCTGCTGGGGAAAGGAAGCATTTCACGCTGTTTAGGGACTATCCACACTAGAAAGAAACTATAAAGGGGAGAAAACCCCTGCTGCGTGAATGGAAAAGCTCAGAGCATCTGTGCGGGGACCAGTACTCAGTGGGCAAAAGCAACGAACTGCTGACACAGGTGACGACACAGATGCCTGCAAAATAATCAGGCTGGGTGACACGAGCCAGCCTAAAAACCCAGCACGGTCCACGGAGCCACCGCAGAACCCCTGTTCCTCTCTCAAGCCTTCCTCTCCTTCCACTCTGCCCCATTTTTACCAAATTCCAGGAAGGACAAACCAAGCTACAGCAATCAAAAGCAGGAAAGTGGGTGCCCAGGGCAGCAGGGGGAGGGGGAGGGATCACCAAGGAGCAAGGGGCAGCATTTGGAGGTTCATGCTCGTCATCCTGATGGTGGTGGTGGTGATTTTATAGGTGTAAACATGTTAAAACACCTCACGTCATACACTTCAAGGACGCATGGTTTATTGAATGGCAAACATACCTCAATAAGGCAAGTTGAGGGTTTTTTGTGGAGGAGGGGTTCTAGGGACTAAACCCAGGGGCACTTTGCCACTGAGATACATCCCCAGCCTTCTTATTTTTTTTAAATATTTATTTTTTAATTGTAGTTGGACACAATACCTCTATTCCATTCATTTATTTTTATTTGGTGCTGAGGATCGAACCCAGGGCCTCGCTCATGCTGGGTGAGTGTTCTATCGCTGAGCCACAATCCCAGCCCCAGCCTTCTTATTTTTCATTTTGAGATTAGGTCTTGCTAAGTTGCATAGGGCTTTGTTAAGTTGCTGAGGCTGGCCTTGAACTTGAGATCCTCCTGCTTCAGCCACCCAAGTCCCAGGGGCTGCAGGCCTATGCCACCTTGCCCAGCCAATAGTTAGTTTTCAAAGCCCACTGAGCCCAGCTACCTACTGGAGCTTCTCCTTTAGAGTCCTCACTCCCCATTCCTCCAACCAGAGCCCATAGACCTCAGCTAAAGCAGGGCCTCAGCTTCTTTCAAGATGTCTCCTCTCCTTCCCACCCATCCCTATTAGGGTTCTGGGGCTCTAGGTAAAAGTCCAGAAAACAGGGACTGGGGTGATGGCTCAGCGGTAGAGCACTCACCTAGCGCGTGTGAGGCCCTGAGTTCAATCCTCAGCACCACATAAAAATAAATAAATAAAGGTATTGTGTCCAACTACAGCTAAAAAATAAATACCTTAAAAAAGTCCGGAAAACACTGGCTCTAGGCAAATATGGTGGAAATGCCCAGGACCCAGAGATCCAGGACCTGGAAGGACATTCCCCAAGGCTTCCCTTCCACAGGGAGGACCCAAGGGTACAGATTCCAGGGTTGGGTGGGGGTGGGGAAGGGACAGCACAGAGTCCACAGGCTGAGTGACAGTAGAACAACTGGAGAAGGTGAACGTACATAGGATACCCTTGTCCTGGGGGCCCAACATGCACTCAGACATATGACCTCCAAAAGCCCTACTTGTGCACACACACCAGTGAGAACACAAAGGCCATCCCAACCCTAAGGCACACCAGAGGGAGAAGGGTTCATCCCTCTTCCTTATCCTGAGACCAGGAATCCCACATTGACATATGCATGTCTTCGTGTACATGTGGTTGTACAAAACAACACACAGAAAACAGGTGCCCGTCACACAAAGGCCATACATTTTTAATAATCATGGCAGTCCTGTGCCAAGCTCTGGGAGGGTTTTTTCTTTGGTGGGGGTGGGTAACCAGGAATTGAACTAAGGGGCACTCAACCACTGTGCCACATCCCCAGCCCTATTTTGTATTTTATTTAGAGACAGGGTCTCACTGAGTTGCTTAGCACCTCACTATTGCTGAGGCTGGCTTTGAACTTATGGTCCTTCTGCCTTGGCCTCCTGAGCTGCTGGGATTACAGGTGTGTGCCACCGCACCCAGCTTGAACTGGGAGTTTTACATATCCTCACACCAAATTTATGAAGTAGGAAGGGTCTTTATCAACTCATTTTATCAATGACACAGGAGGTAAAAAATGGAAGTCAAACCCACAATCTAACTCCAGGACTGTCATTTAGCTATTAAGCTTTGAATAACCGGGAAATCATGGTTTTAGCATTCTGGGTACATTTTTTAAAAGCACTTTAAAATTCAATTATAACTTACAAATGTGAAAAAAAAAAAAAAAAAAAAGCTCATCCAGGTACCACCTAAAATCATGCCATGGAACGTTTTTATCAAACTGCCTTCATAAGACACATAGAGCCACCAAAACACAAAAATACAAACCACTGGCTGGGAACATAGCTCAGCTGGGAGAGTGCTTGCCTTGCATGCACCACGCCCTGGGTTCAATCCCCAGCACCAGGAAAAAAAGAAGAAATCCAAACCATGTTCTCAGCCCTTGTCCACGGCCTGCAGGATGCAGCCGGAGACAGCCAGTGTGGCAAACAGGTTGGCAGTTTCTAATAAAGCCACACACCTCCCACACAACAAAGCACTCGCACTTCTGGGCATTTTCCCAAGAGAAATGAAAACACATCCAGACAATGACCTGTACATAATGTATAGCTGCTTTATTCATAATGATCCCCAACTGGAAACAATTCAAAAAAACCTTCCACTGTGAACAGATAAAGAAAATGTGGTACGTGCATAGGATTACCGTTCTGCAAGAAAAACAGCAATGACAACAGAGACGCACACAACAAGGACAAACTCAAAAGCATGCCAAGGAGAGAAGCCAGATACACAAGGCTACCTACTGTGGGACACCATCCGTGTGACATTCAGGAAAAGGCAGAAGCAGGGAGGGAGAGATCAGTGGGTATCAGCATTTGGGGGAAGATATGACCACACCAGGGCATGAAGGAAGTTTTCTCAATGACAGAATTGCTCTCTAGCTTGCTGGTGTAGTGGTTACGCAACTCACACATTTGTCAAAAAAAAAAAAAATGAATGAACATTATGCCTCAATTAAAAAGCAACAACTAATAATCCAGGTCTTCATGAAGATGGAGGGAGGAGAGGCTAGTGCTCCCAAGGCACCCCATCGCTCTGCCCCAGGCAGTGCTAGGATTTGGATCATCTCACAGGAGACCTCCCAAAGCTGAGATGGGCCTGCCACTCTAACCCTTAATTTTAAGTCCCTTCCACATCTCTGAAATGAAATGGGTGCTGTTCCCTGTCCCTCATGGGTGTGGAGAGAGAGCACTCTAACAGTTGCAAAGCACCATGTCCTGATTCCTGGGGTCTGAGAAATTCCGAGCACCTT